CGACACATAGCATTGGCTCTGGAACCCGAGACCTGGAGAGGGGTTGGACACTCTACTTTGCTGGAGTTGCTCCGGGTGAGAGGCGGAGGGCTGGGGTTGGCTTTTTGTTAGCCCCGAGACTCTCTGCCTGTGTGTTGGGGTTTACCCCGGGGGACAAGAGGGTAGCTTCCTTGCGCCTTCGGGTCGGGGAACGGGTCCTGACTGTTGTTTGTGCTTATGGGCCAAATATCAGTTCAGAGTACCCACCCTTTTTGGAGTCCCTGGGACGAGTGCTAGATAGTGCTCCATCAGGGGACTCCATTGTCCTGCTGGGGGACTTCAATGCTCACGTGGGCAATGACAGCTTGACCTGGAGGGGTGTGATTGGGAGGAACGGCCCACCTGATCAGAACTCGAGCGGTGTTTTGTTATTGGACTTCTGTGCAAGCCGCAGTTTGGCCATAACGAACACCATGTTCGAACATAAGGATGCCCACCGGTACACTTGGTACCAGGGCAGCCTAGGTCACAGGTCGATGATAGATTTTGTAGTCGTATCATCTGACCTGCGGCCGTATGTTTTGGACACCCGAGTGAAGAGAGGGGCGGAGCTGTCAACTGATCACCACCTGGTGGTGAGTTGGATCAGATGGCAAGGGAACATGCCGCGTAGACCTGGCAGACCCAAACGCATAGTGAGGGTCTGCTGGGAACGCCTGGCAGAAGAACCTGTCAAGACGGTCTTCAACTCCCACCTCCGGCAGAGCTTTGACCACGTCCCGAGAGCAGTGGGGGACATTGAGTCCGAGTGGGCCTTGTTCCACTCTGCGATTGTCGAGGCGGCTGTTGCTAGCTGTGGTCGTAAGGTGGCCGGTGCCAGTCGTGGTGGCAACCCCCGTACCCGCTGGTGGACACCAGAGGTTCGGGGAGCCGTCAGGCTGAAGAAGGAGGCCTACAGGGCGTGGCTGGTCTGTGGGTCTCCGGAGGCAGCAGACAGGTACCGGATAGCCAAGCGGGGTGCAGCAGTGGCAGTTGCCGAGGCAAAATCTCGGGCGTGGGAGGAGTTTGGTGAGGCCATGGAGAAAGACTATCGATCGGCTCCAAAGAGGTTCTGGCAAACTGTCCGGCGCCTCAGGAGAGGAAGGCAGCAACTCGCTCACACTGTTTACAGTGGGGATGGGGAGCTGCTGACGTCAACTGAGGCTATAGTCGGACGGTGGAAGGAATACTTTGAGGAGCTCCTCAATCCCACCAATGCGCATTCCGAGGAGGAACCAGAGCTGGGAGGCCTGGGGATGGACTGTCCGATCTCGGGGGCAGAAGTTGCTGAGGTAGTCAAACAACTACACAGCGGCGGAGCCCCGGGGGCGGATGAGGTTCGTCCTGGGTATCTCAAGGCTATGGATGTTGTAGGGCTGTCATGGTTGACACGTCTCTACAACATTGCGTGGTCATCGGGGGCAGTTCCTAGGGAGTGGCAGACCGGGGTGGTGGTCCCCATCTTTAAGAAGGGTGACCTGAGGGTGTGTTCCAACTATAGGGGGATCACACTCCTCAGCCTCCCTGGAAAGGTCTACTCCAAGGTACTGGAGAGGAGGGTCCGATCGATAGTTGAATCTCAGATAGAGGAGGAGCAATGTGGTTTTCGTCCTGGCCGTGGAACTGTGGACCAGCTCTATACCCTTGCAAGGGTGATGGAGGGGGCATGGGAGTTTGCCCAACCAATCCACATGTGCTTTGTGGATTTGGAGAAGGCTTATGACCGTGTCCCCAGGGGCACCCTGTGGGGGACGCTCCAGGAGTATGGGGTGGGTGGCTTTCTGTTAAGGGCCATTCAGTCCCTTTACCAGAGGAGCGTGAGTTTGGTCCGCATAGCCGGTAGTAAGTCGGACCTGTTCCCAGTGAGGGTTGGACTCCGCCAGGGCTGCCCTTTGTCACCGGTTCTGTTCATCACTTTTATGGACAGAATTTCTAGACGCAGCCGTGGTGTGGAGTGTGTCGAGTTTGGTGGCAGGAGAATCTCGTCTCTGCTTTTTGCGGATGATGTGGTCCTCCTAGCTTCATCCAGCTCTGACCTTCAGCTCTTGCTGGGTAGGTTCGCGGCCGAATGTGAAGCGGCTGGGATGAGGATCAGCACCTCCAAATCTGAGACCATGGTTCTCGACCGGAAAAGGGTGGCTTGCCACCTCCGGGTCGGGGGAGAGGTCCTACCTCAAGTGGAGGAGTTTAAGTATCTCGGGGTCTTGTTCACGAGTGAGGGTAGGAGGGATCGGGAGATCGACAGGCGGATTGGTTCGGCGTCTGCAGTGATGCGGACGCTGAGCCGATCTGTCGTGGGGAAGAGGGAGCTGAGCCAGAAAGCCAGGCTCTCGATTTACCGGTCGATCTACGTCCCAATCCTCACCTATGGTCATGAGCTTTGGGTAATGACCGAAAGAACGAGATCGCGGATACAAGCGGCCGAAATGAGTTTCCTCCGTAGGGTGGCCGGGCTCAGCCTTAGAGATAGGGTGAGGAGCTCGGACATTCGGGAGGGACTCGGAGTAGAACCGCTGCTCCTCCGGATCGAAAGGAGCCAGTTGAGGTGGTTTGGGCATCTGGTCAGGATGCCTCCTGGACGCCTCCCCGGGGAGGTGTTTCAGGCATGTCCTGCCGGCAGAAGGCCCCCGGGTCGACCCAGGACACGTTGGAGAGGTTACATCTCCAATCTGGTCCGGGAACGCCTTGGGGTCCTGCCGGAGGAGCTGGTGGACAAGGCCGGGGAGAGGACGGCCTGGAGCTCCCTAGTTGGGATGCTGCCCCTGCGACCCGGACCCGGATAAGCGGAGGAAGACGAGACGAGACGAGAGACCATTGGTCACCTTGAGGGTCTGAAAGGCGCTTACAAATAAAATATATTATTATTATTATTATTATTATTATTATTAATATTATTAGTCCTTACCGATGCTCATTTCATATTGCATGGAGCTCTACAGGACAGAGGGCAGGCTAAGGAAAAAATATGTATTGCCTACTTTATATCACAGTACATGATAACAAAATGACTTATGGATTTCTGAAAAAGCATTCATAATTCCTAAAAGAGGAAAACTTCAATATAAGTAGGGATGCAAGAAAAAACGATGAACTTAAATATCACAATATTTCCTTTTCAGATATTGAATTAATATATTAAAGTTGTGTATGGATTTTTTATTGAGAATTTACATGCAAACATTTACTTCTTTTTTTATGTAATTCAAAGTCTGACTGCTAGTGGGCAGCAGGTCATACCACTCTCATTTAGACATCATCATGTTGGATGTTTTTTACATGCATCTGATCTCATTTTTTCAAGTAAGCTCAGTCTGATAAATTGCAAATAGTCCGTCTTCTAGATTATCAATATATCCTCTCTATTGTACTGAGATGTATATTGTCACCAGATTCTTGAAATCACCCACCTCACCTTCTGAAAAAAATACACAAACTACAACAAGATGGAAAAATAAATCAGTTGTTAAAGGGAGGCTAGGCAGTTTTGGCTTGCTTTTAAGACTTCCTAGTGTCCTTTTAGTAGAACCAAAAGCAAAACCTATCTCCTCGCTGTCCGTTGGTCTATTCAACACCTAATGTGAAAGGTGATTTGTCTCCCCAGCCTTCATTAGTGTCTACAGGAGCGGTACGTCACTAAATTAAACAAATCAGCTGTGTTTATGATCTAAAACATGCTGGAAGCACATTGCAGGTATGCCAGCTCCTTTTTTTTTTCCAAGTCCAATAGACCAGACCGGCATTCTGACGTTGCAAATATCGTATTCTGGCCACAGAGGGCGGTGGGGGTCTGAGTGGCATTTCATTAACCCTTTAAAGGGTCATTTTAATACAAACAAGCTCAACAAAATGATTTAAAAATATGAAAAAGTTGCCCTTTAATATCAGCCCAGGTTTACTTATCGGACTGATACCACTTATCGGACTGATACCAAAATGTTAAAAAATGACCAACTTCGGTCAATAACGGTATTGATGCTGATATATCAAGCGTCTCTAGAAATATTACATCTCTTCAGATTAAAGTTAGGATCTCTGGCCAAAACACAGCAGGTTGCTCAATTAGTATCCCGTAGAGAAAGCTGTTGCCATATTCTAAAAGTCATTGGTGGTCTAAATAAGACTTGTTGTATTACTTTGCAATGATAAGAAAAAAGAATGATATTACTTATTTTTACCGTCATTAATGGGCAGTCTGGTGTTTTGCTGCTCCAAACAAGAGAATTAATCTTCAAAATGCGCATTAAACTCAGTCCCTGTCGCTTTAAGTCTTTTCATCAGTTTCCTTTCCATATTTTTGAGATGTGTGTCAGCAGACATATAAGTGAACCAGTGAGACAAGTTAGCAATTGGCTCTTGCATCTTTCATGCAAAAGCCAATTTTCACGGTCTAATGAAGAAAAAAAAAGCTTGTTTTTCAGACTGTTCCAACAAAATGCTTGTAGAGTACTATGCTAATCAATTATTAATCCTTCCTGCCGATTGGCCACTTTGTGGTCCATGCCTCCCATGGTTTTGCCAGTGACCACAAATGTTGGTGCAGCTGGTTCATGTTAAGGTTAATGGACACGTTTCTTGTAGCGCTGTAGATTTTATTGAGTTTTAGCAATGAAAATGGATGCAAACCCGTGCTATTACTCGCTCGCTTCTGGTATTAATCATTTATTTCCTACTACAGACAAAACAAAGACATCTTATGCTATACTGAGCAACATAAGCATTACATGTTCAATATAAGATGTAATTAACAATTTAGTTTTCACATGTATATTTCAACGTGAAGTATGTCAGACAGAATAGAAGTTCAAATGGAGCACACATTTTAGTTAATTGAAGCAAAAAAAAAAAAAGATGGGAAAAGTGAAGACTTGCTAATGGATTAATGCTAAATAATTAAGTTTGGTGATTGTACAAGAGCATGGGAGAAACCAACAATGCACACACTTATAATCCTAATTATTAGCATTTCCTTTGTCCTGTTTTAGATGGTTACACCACAGATGACATTGAATTCTACTGGCGAGGAGGAAAGAATGCAGTTACCGGAGTGGACAAGATTGAGCTGCCTCAGTTCTCCATCGTGGATCACAAGCTGATTTCCAAGAATGTCGTTTTCTCTACAGGTGATGGCAATAAAACAACTTCATACCTCAAACAAGTCCTGATTCAAAAAGTTTTTTTAGAGCATTTGCTATTTTGTTTTTGAACAAACACTTTAACCAACTTGTGGAAATGAAAAATGTCAACCCAGCATAGAAACAAATCTGAATTAAGCAATTTCCTAGGAGACAAAACACACCATGACTTATTTACCAGCAATAAACAAAAAGAACACTGTCTGACACAATGAAATATTCATATTTCTGCATTTCCATATTGATGTACTTGTCACACTACTAAGCATTTGGCAGTAGGACAAAGGCCTTTTTGAAAGTGTTAGCATTAGTTACTTCATCGTGCAACTGTGCACATTCATACAGGAATAACATATAAGTTCAGCTCGGAAGTGTTTTTGTCTGGAGTCACAAATCAGCTTATTAATATACAGCCCTGACTTCTGAATGCATGGTGCATCTCTGTTCGCCTGCAGAATTCCAGCTAGTATCCTGTTCATAAATGTGCTGTCTACAGCTGTATGAAAGAGCCATCTTTGGATCACTTAGAAATGCAAACATCACTAGGAATTTATCTAAAATGAATGTTGGGAGCTACTGCAGGTGGGCAATGTCATTATTGACCTTATAAAAAAAGATTTTTCACTGTGAAATGATCCATCCTTTCCGGGGAAAAAATAAAAATATATACCAGTATATATATATATATATATATATATATATATATATATATATATATATATATTAGCGGCTAATTCAATAGATTGTCCGAAGAGAAAAATGTATATGCTTAAAATTGTATTTTGTGAATAAGCCATACTTAAGTTGTCTAAAAAAAGTACAACATAATTTTCTCACACTCTGTGTTAATGGTTTTCACATCCTGTATTACATTAATGATATTTTTATTCCATTTGTGTCATATCATCTCCAATGCTTTTGTAATATTCACAAAAAACAGGTTCTCTTGTGGCCATTTCATGCATTAATATGATGCATTTTACTCCCTTAACCTCTCTTCTGCAACTTAAATTCGACCAACCTTGTCAAGGAGAGGCTGCTGTTTATGTTTATGTTTATGTATTTAGCAGACGTTATGGTCCAAAGCGACTTACAAGTGATAATCGGCATGTTGTCCTTGAGGCTAACAACAACAATAACAGGAACAAACAATGTCCAGTCAGTCGTAGGTGGCGGTGAAGCAGCACGATGAATCATGGAGAGGAGGGAACAAGGAGTGGACTGTAGAGAGGGGGGACAGGTGCAGGGAGGGTGCTAGTTTAGAAGATGCTCTCTGAAGAGCAGGGTCTTCAGGAGTTTCTTGAAAATCAAAAGGAAGCCCCTGTTCTGGTAGTGCTTGGAAGGTCATTCCACATTCGTGGAACGATGCATGAGAAGAGTCTGGATTGTCCTGAGCGTGGTGTAGGCACTGCTAGCCGACAATCCTGTGATGAATGGAGCAGCCGGGCCGAGACTTGCAGGCTCGTTTTCCGTAAAGAGCTGGCCATCGACTTTTGAATTCTGCGATGAATGGCATGTCTTGAACGACCTCATACCGCCGAAGTGCAAAGGTTTTCTCCATTTTCTGCTTGATCATTTGATGGTTGTTTCTCTTTTTGACCTCCAAAAGCAGTTCTTCACGCATTTTCTCAAGACTTTCTTTGTCTTCTCCAACTGGGTAATCAGGACAAAAATTACAAAAAGAACATCCCTGAAAAACACAAGTCACTGTTTCATGGTTCTTGAGATGATAATTAATATAGCTAAAATACTCTTGCGAGGATATGTAGGTGTGTGTAGACAAATGACAGTTAAAAGTAGCTAAATTATCTTGCTTTACAACAGTATTATTTGTGTGTGTCTCAGTTCATCCTGGAAGTAATCACTGGGAGGAAAGATGAGGTGAGATTTGTAGTCAAATAAGTAAAACTCAGATATCACACACCAATATCTGAGTTTGAATTATTCCAAAATATTGATTATTACCTCATTTGTCATGTGTGGACACATCAGTGTCACAGTAGTTATGAGTCTGGCTCTGCTCTCAAACCTGTGACCTGCAGTAATGGGTGTTGAGTTTTCAAATGCCTGTTTATATTGTTTACTGACCCAGACTTAAATGAAATTACTTTCTGACAAATGCAGCATTTGGCCTTATAGTTGTCTTCACGAAAAATGTACACCCAAATTCAAAATGTGCAACTCTATTAAACATACTATCAGAAAATTCCTATTGTCTCACATTTTCCACTCAATAAATGCATTTCTAACATACCTATAGGAGAGTTTTTCACCTGTACATGTCGTGTACCATATATTAAACAAATCATTTGTAGCACTGCTGGGGTTTGGTTGTAGCTGTGATAATGGAGCTAACCATGCTAGTGGAGCTAACCACACCAACTAAGCTAACAGGACTAATGGAATAATAGTTCCCCAATATATTTACCGAATTCTTGTCAGTAATTTAACAGCTTTACACGGAATAGTTTCATACATCAGTAAGAAAGACTTTCACTTAGTTAATGGAGCTAACCACACCAACTAAGCTAACAGGACTTAATGGAACAATAGTTCGCCGATATATTCAACCAATTTTTGTCAGTAATTTAACAGTTTCCACACAGAATGGTTTTGTAAATCAGTAAGAAAGACTTTCACTTACCCGTATTGAAAGGTGAATTTGGCTCTTTCCACTGCATGTAACACTCCATAGACACGTGGCTCCCTCTGCAATGAAAAAAAAAAATCAGCCAGGACATACGGAGTTTTCCAAGGGACAAAGTACACCGATTTACAAAGCGCCTTTTGTTAGACTTAATATTTACATTACAAACTTGAGTTGGTGTTACTTACACAGTTAAGTCCATCCAACATTGCAAGTATTTGCTTTCAAATAAAACAAATAACATAAGTAAATGTAAAAAATATATAGTTTTTGATTACTTCTAACATGATAATACAGTATGTTTTATTGCCATTGACAGTGAGATTTCCTTTTTTTGAGTGTGGTTTGATCCAGGTTTCAGTGACAGCCAGTGCATCGAGTGACAGGTGGTTTGCATATGCTGTAATGAAGTCTGCTTTGTTTACGGCTGATTGGCAGTTCCTTACAGTTCATTGGCTGTCATACACACACATCATTTTCACAATATAAAAAAAAAAAACTACTCACTGATTTTGTTAAGCTTGCTTATAGACAATTTATTTAGTAAAATATGTTGGATTTACTTATCTCTTTTTCTCAACAGGCTCATATCCTCGTTTGTCACTGAGTTTTAAGCTAAAGAGAAATATCGGGTACTTCATCCTGCAAACATACATGCCTTCTATCCTCATCACCATCCTCTCATGGGTCTCCTTTTGGATCAACTATGATGCTTCTGCTGCCAGGGTGGCTTTAGGTGAGCACATGTATAAAAACTACATCTGGTGGGAACTTTAGTTTGTTGTTTCTAAACCTTCATTTGCACTTTTCCCTCTTTTTTTTTTTACAATGATCATCGCTAGTGTGATCTTCAAATATTAATCAGTGTTTGTTTTTATGATGAACTAGTTTATTTGAATATAAAGGCATTGTATTTTACCTGGACTCTTGATTGCCCCTACCGGCACCCTCCTATCTAAATCCTATGCAGCCTTGTTTTGAGTCTTTCTACTCAGGATCATCTAGCTTGCTTTATTCAGCCCTTTACTCATCCTTTGATTTAGTTGACAAGACAATTTTGCTGATTGACTACTGAGCTGCTAATAGTGATCCTGTGGGATGCCAGGTGTGGACTGCAGCAACAAAACAAAAAAAAAAAAGGGTAAAGCTTCATAATGGAATCAGGTCAACGGTGTTGAGAAATGTCCTGTTGAGGAAACCACTTCACTCTGACGAGGCATTGGAATTGGCTTCAGTCAGCTGGCTGCTGATAAGCTCTTGCAAAACCTGAATGGGAAATTGCTTGATTTTTAGTCTAAGCAGTGGTCACTTGTCATATGTTAAGACAAAAGCACAAAAAAATTTAAAAAAAAGTTGTATTCTGTGACTCCAAACTGAATTTGCTTTAAAAAAATGCATTAAGATTCATTGGGTATAAAGGGGAATTTCAGGTTGTTGTTGGGAGCTCTGAACTCTTTTTTTTTTTATTCATGCATGGGAAAGAACTGGGGTTCTAGGATTAGGCTTCATGTGCTATTTGTAAATAATATATTGACATTTCCATAGGCTGTGTTTAAAAGCATGCAAAATGCCAAGCCATATGTTTGCTAAATGAAACACAGTAATTAAAGGGATCATATAATTTAAACCTCCTTTACATTGTTGTTGAATTTAGGTAGTGGGGCATCTAATGCAGCATACCATAAAGACTGTGCCATCTCTGGCCATCTGCAAATGAACAATGCTGCAATAACCTCTGAGAAATCTTTTTTATCTGATAAAAGTTGATTTAACATGTCATACATAGACATTTTACATGGCTATGTTTCGACCTACTTCATTGTTGGCAATAAATAAACATTGGTGATGATAATGCTAACCACAAAACAACGCTAGACTGAGCAACTGCTAATGCTAGCCTGAACTGCTAATGCTAGCCTGAGCTGACAACGCTAGCCAGAGCTACTGCTAATGCTAACATGTGCCTCCAATGCTAGCCAGAGTACTGCTAATGTTAGCCTGAGCTGCTAACACCAACCTGAGCTACTGCTGACGCTAGCCTGAGTTGCTAACAAAGCAGAATGAGAGAGGAACAAAAAAGCAGAATGTGTTGGGAATTCCAGGTCCTTGTCCTTGTCATTTTGTCCCTCGCTTGTACACACTGTCCAAAAAACTGTCTGATGTGATATTTTGCTAACTTGTCTGATAACAAAAATGTAGCTCTGCTGACCCTTTTACAATTAAACAAAATAGATATTTTTTTCACTTGCTTGTATATGGATAAATAAACAACATATTACCTAATTTCACAAATTTTAAAATGTGTTGTCTTTTTCGTCTTGTTCCTTCTCTACCAGGTATCACAACGGTGCTCACCATGACAACCATTAACACACACCTGAGAGAAACCCTACCCAAAATCCCATACGTCAAGGCCATAGACATGTACCTTATGGGTTGCTTTGTGTTTGTCTTCCTGGCCCTGTTGGAATATGCTCTGGTGAACTACATCTTTTTTGGCCAGGGTCCACAGCGCCAGAAAAAAGCTGCAGAGAAGACAGCTACAGCTAACAATGAAAAGATGAGGATGGACCCTAACAAGGTACTTATCAGGTTGGCATGTTTGAGGGGAAAATGCTTGCCAAAAATGCAGGAATTGCAATTAAAGAAAAAAAAAATGAATAGAAACGTTAGACTTTTTCAACACAACTTGAAACTTTGCAAAACTGATAGATCAAAGACAATATACAAAATTGTTAACCCAAGAAATGTCATATTGCCATCATATTTTTAAAATATGTATGCATATAATTGTTTTTCTTTATAAACTTATAAAATTACTTTAAAAATGTTTCCATCACTCTAGAGCCAGGGTATTCAATTCCGGGCCTGGTGGGCCGATGTCCTGCACGTTTTAGTGGTTTCTCTACTTCAACACACTAGATTCAGTGGTTGAATCACTTGTGCAGCAGCTCATCAGGCTCTGCAGAAGCCTGTTAATCACCTGCTGATTGAAATCAGGTGTGATGAAACAGGGTTAATACTAAAACATGCTGGATACCACCACCCCCAGGACTGGAATTGAATACCCCTGCTCTAGAGAGACACCTTATGTAAACCACCGTTTAGTCTTGTGTTTGAGCTGAGAACATTTAAAGCACTAAATTAATTTATTCACTTTTTTCTTTTACTTTGCATGACACTCTTGATTTAATTGTTCATATATCCAAGTTGCTTGTAATTATTCTAAAGCCACAGAAACTTGGAATAATTGCTAGCAAAAGAATAGAAATGTCACATCATTATGTAGAGGGTGGAACAATTGTTGCCTGCCTTCATGAAGCCAGTCTAATGAGCTTTTACTGGGAGTATTTGAGAGCCCATTGTGACATGTTGCCAACTGAAACAAAAAGAAAATGGGTATCTGAGCCATGTGGCTCTTTGCCATAATTTAAAAGAATCTCTCTTTTTTCCCTCTTTCCAATCTGAGCTAAAATGAAGCAATTATTTACAAGTGGAGACATAAATGACCACCATGACTGCACATGAACTGGCGATGTGTTTTCTGTTGTAAAATACCCCCCAAAAAGTGACTCAAAAATATTGCAGCAATAACTTCTGCAACACCACGATAATGCAGAAAAAGAAGAGTCCAAATCTTTCAATTTTAAATATCATGATTCAATAACAAAGCAGGCATACTGTGTATTTAAATGGAGCTGTGGTCAGAGGAATTAATCTATGCAGTAAATATTTGCCAGTATACACTAAATTAGTGCATCTTTGCCATTTTTTAATTCTGCTTGCAGTGGCTTGTGGGTAATGTGGTTGGCAGAGATGATACTTTGTATGCAAGAATGAAACAAAGAGATCTAGCTGGCCATGACTCGATGTGGGAACCAATCTTTATGGATGATGCAGCAATTGGACTTGGTGATCAAAAGAATAAGGTATGACAAAAAACTGCTGATTCACATGACCTATACTGATTTAGAAAAAGGTCAAATATGCAATTTATTATCATCAAATGCTATGTGTATTTAAGGCTAGCCTTGTGTTGGGTAAAAAAAATACCTGCCACATACCACACTTACATTTACACTTTTTTGTTAAACCTGATTGATAATTTTTCTCATTGCATGTAATAAAAAAATACTCATTAAAAAAACACACAAACTTGACTCTTTCCCCTAAGCAGATGGACCCGCACGAAAATATCCTCTTGGGAACTCTCGATATCAAGAATGACATGGGCGTCACAGAGCTGGCTCTGGGTCTCAATGATCCACGGAATACCATGTTAACCTACGACAGCTCCAACCTGCAGTACCGCAAAGCGGGCCTGGCCAAGCACAACTTTGGCCGAAATGCTCTGGAGCGCCATATGACTCAAAAGAAGAGCCGACTACGAAGGCGGGCATCTCAGTTGAAAATCACCATCCCAGATTTGACTGATGTAAACTCCATTGACAAGTGGTCAAGGATGATCTTCCCAACAGTGTTTTCCTTCTTCAACATTGTGTATTGGCTTTACTACGTCAACTAAACAACAGGACATCGATGAGTGCAGGAACAAAGCAAAACATGTTGCTACTTTCCTCTTTGTATCTGATTTGTTTCATATTTATATGATGTGATACAGTTAGACTGAATTCATTACATCTTGGAGCATAACCTTTGCTGGCTAACACTTAAAAACCTTATAAAAAAGAGATGACACTTATAAGGTGCCTGTTCCTAAATAATGTATTTATTTATTTTTTGTTATTATTTCTGTTTCTTAAAATAATTTTTTTGAGTTTGTACTTTGTATTTAAAGTCAGATTTAATACATGTTACACTAACAAAGCTAAAAACTCACTTAGGTGCAAATTTAAAGGTTTACATTGTACTTAAGTGGAAATTTCACTGAAAGTGCTTGAAAGTTTCAAGTTAACTTTTTTAACATTCATGTCAAAGAAAAAAATAATATCTGTAAATATTTCAAATAGTTTCCATTTACATTTTAGCCTTTTTTTCTTTTTGTTGTAGTGTAATGGTGATACAGTTTGTCATTTAGATTATATTAAGTTTTTAAATTGTCATTCCAAAACTCTTAACAGAATAATTCAGAATATGCTCAGCAATTGTGTTATAATGGCTTGTTTTGTTTTTAAAAGACTATATTGTTTGTAATTTTAAAAAAACTGGCTTTATTTGTTTATTATCTGTGGGATATTTTGTGTTTCTTTAAATAGCACTCATATCCAGTATGGGTGCATTAAGAGATGACTAAAACTACAAGGTATAACAAAAAAAAAAAAAAAAAAAAAAGCCCAGATGCATAAAAGCACAAAAATCCACATTTTCATCCATTTCAATTATCAACACTTTTAAAAGAATACTTGTTTTCTGAGAACTATGTTTGATTTTTTTTCATTCTCTTAGACCAGATTTTTGTTTATTATTTATTAACTTGTCTTTTATTTTCCAAATTTTATTGAGCTTTTAACTAAAAACATTTTTTTTTTCATTTTCATTTTAACACTAGCTACGTTTACATGTGCCACATTTCCCCTATCTGATTCAACTCTTGGCTAATCAGAAATCCCAAATCTCTGTTTACATGGACACTAACTGAAGTGATCCAGTTATGCCGTGAGTATACATGCACCAAGCATTCAATCAGATTTAAATAGGTTGAGCATGTGCAGAGTTGTCTTTCCTGTAAAAAAATTTGTAAACAAACTCCATCTTTGTCCGTGGATTTACCTTTCCAACGGTTTTTTAATTTGGTCAACACTTTAGTGAATTTGGTGGCACTTCCTGCAACTTTAAATGCACTTAAGTGTATAACTCTGCTTTTCGAGCCTTTCGACCATCGAGACGTTAAATAATATTGAGCTCTCGGAGTGCTTCCAGTAAAAAATAGTCGTCAAAAGACTACTTCTGTTTACCTCCTGCCTTGTTGTTGACTTGTCCTGAGTGTCAGCACAGGCAAAAAGACATCATGTATACATGCACAGTGGGCATTATTTTACCCCAACAATCCAAATGGGTGTCTACATGGATGTCAATCAGAATGATGATTGGACAAAACCACCTCTCTCAATCAGAAGGATTTTTTTTCTGACCGGGTCGTGTCGCATCACGATATTCCAGTTGACATGTTTACATGAAGAATGTTTGATCTGATACGACAATCCCTCCGATTATTTGTGGCCATGTAAACGTAGCTACTGAGGTCACAACGTAAATTGTCCAAGTGGTTTTGCACAAAAGCTCTTAAAAGCCATATAGGCTTAATCATAGTTCTTACACCTGGTGAACATGACTTGTCTTTTGAAACATTTGAACAATTTCTTCTTTAATTTCAGGGAAAACCAAATTAAGAGAGAAAAAGTAAATGACACAGACTATAAAGAAATATGTGTAAAAGAACCAAACCAATATTTGGTATTTTGTGTGGATAAAAACAAGATTAGGTATATAAAAAAAGAACCATTAATGACAATTTAAAGGAGTAATAAATACTTATGTAGTTACATATACAATGTCAAATTTAAAAGAGTATGGTGAGTTACATGGAGCCGACAGATTTACATTTTTGTTCAACTTTAGTTCAAGAAAAACAACTAAAAGTGACAAATAGGTTATTTATTGCCACTAGTTTAAGGAGAATGAGTCAATATTCTCTAAATATTTAAGGACAGATTAATATGAAAATCTGGATAGTGTATATGAAACATTTTATCAGGTATATATGTATTTTGTTTATGGTATTCATCGGTTTAATTTATCTCAGAAAAAGTTATTGATATATGATATTGTAAAAGTATGCCTGACCTTTTAAATAACAATTATTGTTATAACTAAAACATTTTCCCACAATGCATTTATGTACTGTAAGCACATTTAGGTAGCACTGCCTGGCAAATTACACTTTAAATAAGAGATGTTTAAAAAAATTAAGAAATGTTCAAAATTTGTTTGAGAAAAGGACTAATTATTGTACTTTTCTCTCATAGTTTTTAGTATTTTTTAATTGATCAAACTCATATTTATTTGTATGTAATCTAATCAAAAACTGCACAAAGTAGCCAAGTGCAAGTAACCAAGTTTGGCAATTCATTTTATTTATTTATTTTTAAGTTTAAAATGTTTAACTACAGCTCTGATGAAATACAGAAGCACAAAATAGAATAGTATGAGTAAAGCTCACCTTGTTGTCATTTGTCATATATAAAATATATAAACAAAATAAACATCATCGCTAACTAACCTGCAGTTTATATATATATATATATATATATATATATATATATATATATATATATATATATATATATATATATATATATATATATGTATGTATATAAAAGCCCCCAAAATATTGAACAACACAAAAACAACAAAGAAATATTTTAGAATATAAGAATATTGCTATACAAATAAAATAAAAAAAATTATTACAGTTGCCAATTAGTCCTAGCATTCCTTGCAAAAATATCGACCCTCTATTTTTATGATAATGGCAGTCAACTTAAATTTGGATGACTTCAAAAATTTCTGATGCACATCCAAGGATTACTTAGTCTGTGAGGCATTTAGCTAACAAACAAGGTTGAATTTAGCGATTAACAAGTGTGTTTTTATTGTCGGAACTTCAGGGTAGTTTCTGGGAGGGGGGAATCAACCTAGAGATACGATGACCCAGTCCTCTTAGCCGTTGCATCTCCATGCAAATTCAGCCCTTTCTGGACGTCGCACAGACGCCAGCATGTTGAGACTACTTCAGCAGAGAGTGATGCCACTGAAATTTATTCCATATGGAGGACCAGGAAAGCTGCTGTGTGATGTAAAATGTGGCCTTTAATGGCCAGAAGAAGCATCGGTTTTTAGAGTGCTCTGTGATACAACAAAGCCATTGTGGGGGAGATTCCTTCAATTGACAAACGGTCATGGATGATCTCCAAACAGTTTTTTCCTTTTTCAACATCGTTTATTGGCTTTACTACGTCAACTAAACAACAGGACATCGATGAGTGCAGGAACAAAGCTAAATAAGTACCTAATTTCCTCTTTGTAGCTGGTTTGTTTCATATTTATATGCTGCTATATGGTTAGACTGAATTCATTACATATTGGAGCACAACCTTTGCTGGATACCGATTTTTACAGCACTCTGTGAGACAACTAAGCCTCGTGAATAATGTTGAGGGGGTTTCTGCTGCGCTTTTTGATGTGAGTTTAGTTATGTCAATTTTAAAGAAGTAATAGCTGTATTTGCTTGTGCTTCCATTCTGTTTCACAAGCAACTCTTCTAATTCTACTAATGCTTGTTGTTTCGGACGACGTCTGCTGATGTCCTTTCCTACTGAGATACGACCAACCAGTGTGAGTTTATCAAATGTTCCACACAGTGACTCTACTGGGCATTTCTGGGTACCTACCCCTGTTCTGTTACTCTAATGTTCCTGAAAATGGCCCGTGTAAGGGACACGCATAAGCCGAAAAGTTCCAGTAACATTGTCCTGAAGTTTTGATAGTGGAAACATGTCTACTGGCAACATTTTAAAACACTCTGAGTCTATTTTAGTTCAATAACTACCACATGAAATTTTAGCTCAGTATTTTTAAAATAAGCCTCGATATATCTTTTTTTTTTGTTTGCAATGTTCTCTTACCTGTGTCAGGAAATGAAAATATGAGTAAAAGAAGAATAAAAAGGTTAATTGAACAGGCCAAAAGGACTCAAATCAAACTATCAAAGCTATTTCGATATGTAAATACCAAGAAGTATATTATTTATAGTTTGAAACAACCTATTTCTGTAGATAAATGCTGACTGGACAAAAATGACATTTTTGTATTATTTAGAGTGTAATGTTGAGAATACAAAGGGTGAGGTGAAACTATGTAAATATGATAGTATAACTTTAAATATCACTTTTTTTCTGTTTACTACAGTACAAATCATTGTATTTGCCAAAAATCTTCAACTGTATTTATGAATGTAGTCCATTTCTTTGCACCCTAAGGGGTAAGATGTCAGCAAAAGTACACATTTTTGTACAAATGAGTACCTCTTTTGAAAAAGGTAGAAGTCCTAGAGAAGATGTTCTTCTCCGAATCAGGACATGATGAAACCATCACATCTGGCACGGTAACCACAATTAACCATTCTAAACCTAATATTGATTCTCAGGAAAATTCAAATATTAAGCTTAGATTTCTTAACTGTGGTCATTATTAATTCTAAACCTATTATTCACATTTACCTAAGCTTAACAGTTGCATTTGAGGAAAACGAAAATGAGCTTGTGTGTGATTAAATCCTAGTTTATTTGCTTTCTGTGTTCAACATAAACATCAAAATGTTATATATAGTACACATGAATCATAAAGCAGCATGTCACTTTTCCCCTTTTCTAATTGTATAGGTATAATTTAGACACCTGAATTATACCTAAACACTTTGGGGCACCAAGTCCACCTCAGCTATTATATCTTTCTAATTTGCTCTAATCTTCAGAGTAATACTGTATGAGGTATGTTCTGGTGTGTGAGCGAGTAGAGTGAACTTTGAATATGTGTTTGTAACTCACAGTGCATTTTGTTTTCGTTGTTTTATATATTTTTATACTTCTATATTATAAGTAAAAATAAAATTTTCTAACTGATATACCGAATGATTACATCCTTGATGGAAATGGAAAATTTATCGATTGATGTACGCCAATGAAATCTTTCCATGCTAAGTTGTCATATTTAAACTTTCAGATATGAAAATACCTTCCTCTTTGTACTGGAAAAGTTTTGGGTTTCACAAATGGAAAGTTTTCATTGGACAACCAAATCATCCCTGGAGCGTAGCAAGACTGATATCTTAAAGAGCCTACACGACGCCTCTTGGTGACAGTGTATGTTTGCACACACTCACAGAAGAAGCCTTAGCCTCCTGCTGCCCTGGACCTCTCTACAAGCAGCTTCAAACCCTGTTTACCCTCCAAGAAACCACCAAGAAATCCTACGTGCCACTCTCCAGAACAATCCATGAAAACCTTCGCCAATCTCTTCTTTAATCCCGTTAAGAAAAATGCTTTGTCTTTAATATAAAAAATGATGAAAATTATGACACTGTCAATAAATATTGTAGAAAGTTCAGAATCTGTGTTTGTTTTTCTATTTCATTTAATGAAGGAGATTGGCTCAAACAACTATGATACTACAGTGTTATTATTATTATTGTTATATTATTATTATTATTCCTTTTCAATTATGCAGCTTAATAGAACATAGAGCCCAGCATGATAACATGTTTAGAAGATCATCCAAGCTAAATATTATGAAGAAAGATTTCTCTGTGGGGACTCTCGGTGACACTTAGCAATGTAAAAATTGAGATTTATTAAGGCCGTTCCATCTGTTGAAGGGCTCCCCATTTCTTAATCTTTAATTACTTTTCTGCATGCTTGCTTGTTTGGGGTAACTTGAAAGAAATCAAAAACACTCATAATTAAATTGGTTAATGCAAATTTCCTTTCTTCAATCTGGAAGGAGAGTTGATGCTTGTACTAAGGCACAGTTTTAGTGTTTTCACAAGTTGATTCTGAGATTTTAAAGGTGCAGTATTGTAAGAATATAGTGAAAATCTTACAGTGAGAAATTCCCAAAAGAGTCTAATGTTTCAGTCATTTTGGAAGGAAGGTTAAACTGAAACATATTTCATGTCCAGCTGGCTGTGGGGATCTTCAGTTTTTCTCCTTTCAAAACAAAGAAAGGAGGGACGTAACTCCTGTTTACCGTCAATATGGGGTTGCCATGTGTCCTGCGAGCTAATACTGCAGCTCTGTGCATATTTTGTGCGTGGGATTGGTTTTACGCATTATGTGTTATTTACCAATTTGTACTTGTGTGTGAAAATGTTCCTAAATATAAGAATAGCTCTGACCATGCGCAGGAACAGCATCTAGTTGTAAAACAAGGGAACAGCAATTCTGAAGGTCTCAGTCATCCACACGTGTTCCTCATCCACAAATTATATTTATCCATTACATAGTTGTGTCGATGGAAAAAGGGCTTTTTCGCATAATTGGTGCTTAAAACCAATAAAAGGCACCAGTGATCGACGGGAATCTGACATTATATCATGGCTGTTTTGTGTTATTGGAGGATTTACCAGAACATGCTCTCTGGAGGGAATGCATTCTCCATGAGCTCTCTGATCTCAAAGGAACTCCTTCTGCTATGCTTGTGGTTGGGGACCTTTTCTAGTCTGACAAACCTCACAAATCCGATTCCAGTTAATATTTTATTGTACAACTACGAGAACCCTCCAGAACCTCCTCTGCTCCCTGATCATACCCGCAACCAGACTGACAGCTCAGAAGAGGCGAGGCTGCACTCAGCATTTCCAAATGAAACTAACTCCAAACAGGAGGACTCCATAAATGTAAATGACAACCCATTACTCCACAATTTATCAAATTCATTTTTTATTTCTTTCTGATGGAAACCTCTACTCTGTCCGGACTGCGTTTATAATCTCTGCAACTTGTTTGGTTATTTTGCTCTTTGGCAGCCAGTGTTTCGGTCTTGTTGTCAATAAAGTTTTTCTTATTTTTCTGGAAAAAAACTGGGAATCCTCCCACATGCTGAGGACAAAGCGTGACCAAATATGGTTAATCGAGGGTGTGTCTGTATGTAAATGACAGCAGGGGTGGCGTTAGGCCCGGCTACTTGGGCTCAAGCCCCGCATGTTTTATGAAAAGACTAGTGCGTGTTACGTGTGTGTGTGTGTGTGTGTGTGTGTGTGTGTGCGTGTGTGTGTGTGTGTGTGTGTGTGTGTGTGTGTGTGTGTGTGTGTGTGTGTGTGTGTGTGTGTGTGTGCGGTGTGTGTGTGTGTGTGCTCGCGCACGTGTGTTAAGCCCCGGATCTTCTTCAGTCCAAATCCGCCCCTGAATGACAGTGAACGGACACGAGCACCTGTGTACGCAGGTACCTGTGTACCTGTGGGTGCTAAAAGCAAGCAAAACTGCTTTGTATCCCTTTAAAATAATAACATTGTAATAATAATTGAAAAAAGACCAAAAAAATAGATTAAGACTTAAATAAAAATGACATCAATAAACAAAGAAGTCCAAAAGAAAACATTATCACCCTAAGAACTTCTAATTAGCTGTAGTACACGTGTGTGAGGTTAATACAAATTATAGCATCAAATCTTGAGCTGATTGACAACAGTTTAGTTGTTTGGGCTTTGTGTATGTACATCAGTAAGAATCGCAGAAATGCAGGTTGCCTTTTAACTCCTGGTTGTGGATCGGGATTCCATTCCACAGCAAAACGTGATCAGGCTGGTGACCAGCTTGAGGAGAAGGAGCCAAGCTATGTGGATACTATGATATGTATGGGTCTTCTATTATTTGAGCCTTGTGTCACTGCAAAATACATAAAGTATGAAAATGGCCAATATTCATCATTTTCTCCTCATTACAGTGGGACAGTGCAGACACCCAGCCCACCAAGCAACTCATAACAAGCATGAATGCCAACAAGAGAATTTGTTTTACTAGTTAGCTGTGTTGTTCATGACATGGATACATAATCTTTATGAGTTGTGCCTTGTAGAAAACTTTTGTTGCTCAAATATTAAAGACTATTCTTTTCTGTGCGACAGCAGTAGCTCGGGAGGTAGAGTGGGTAGTCCAGTAACCTGCAACCTGCAGGTTCAATCCTGGCTCCTGCTGGTGGTGGTCGGGGGGACCGGTGGCGCCTTTGGGGGTTATGGAACCCTAACAAGGTGCTATATAAAAACAGACCATTCACCATTTATTGTTAAGGTTTGTTGGAATATGAAAACTAAACATATCCAAATGTGGATAAAGTCAATCTGCCTTCCATTAGGTTTTCTCATTTTTAGTGTCCCATTACTATTTCAAACGGCTGTAAATAGCAGTAGTATACACCAGCTAATTCTGAAGAATATGTATCTCATAGCAACAAGGATCTATTCAAATCTGCATATGTGCTTGTTATACAAGCATGGTGTAATGCTGGAGTTTGAAACTGAGCCACAGTGTGGTTGAAATTGAGCCATGGTGTCTCTGGATAGCAGGACATGAGTCATGACACACAACTGTAGGCAGGCCTGGCACTGAAACAAAGACATTAGGGTCTAATACAGAATGTTCCTTTTCATCCTTCACCCACGACAGTCATTTTTGGTCATCACCTTGCAGTTTCTCTTTAAACTGACTGAAGAAGCAGTGCTTGCTCAGCCAACATACCATTATTTTAAATGGGTGAGCCACTGAAAGTACTCGAGTAAATCCTGTCACAAGAATCGTCTCTAGCGTACAGACCATCGCTTGAGGAGATAAAACACTGTTGTATGTTTTTTTAAAGGGACAACATGCTACTTTTCATATTTTTATATAATTTTCTTGAGCCAGTAGGTGGCAAAATGACCCTTTACCCCTACTTCACACTGGAAGCATCAGTAGAGCGTAACTGCAGCAAAATGTCACAATTTTAAATTACAACCCATTAGAAGCTATGGGGGAAATTTTCAGGTAAAGATGGGATTGGGTTCTATTTTTGTCATGAGCTGCTTCTGGGATACGACAATTTCCACAGTTAACAAAGGGCTAGACAAGAAATCACACATGGTTTCAGTGTAAAACCCTTGGTAATTAAAAAAAAAAAAAGATTATTACAGCCATGTGATTTCATATCGATGTAGATTACATTAATACAAGTGACATAACGGCTTATTTACTCCCAGCATTGTTCCAGAAGTGCAACCGTGTGTTTTTCATGGCTTTGATCCTGGCAGTGGAGAGGAAAATCATCATATATAACATCAAACAGCAATGTCAAAAGTGATTTCCTTCTTCTTGGTTTAAAGGCGGATGACATAAACTTGAGAGATTTTGTGGTCTCATGAGCCCAGCGAGGATTACAGCAGAGAAGGGGCTCCCTAGCTGAAATTCTCCTGGTCACGCTTCGAAACTCGTGAGTAAACCGTTCTGCTGCCGTTATGCTCGGCTGATGCTTCCAGTGTGAAGTAGGGGTTACAAAGTTCATGAAAAGTCACTCAGACCCCCCACTGCCCTCAGTAGCCAGAACATCACTGTTACGTATGCTCGCCACTAGATGGCCCCGGCAGCTCCCTCCTCATCCGGTTTCCTTTGCAGCTGTTCTCCATTAGTTATCGCCTAGTCACTCAGTTAAAAGGCTCACCTCTCCTCCCATTGAGTGAGAAGGTCCAGGGTAGTGTTGTCATGAACAGAACTTAGAAGACCTGTGAAGACGCCAAACACAGTAAAAATAGATTAAAAAAAATATTTTATTCTTAGTGAAGTTACCCGAGGTGGGAGAGGCTGGAGATGGAGTTGGAGACAGGCGAAGGTCGTAATGGCAGGCAGAATACAAGGGAGCAGGAGCAAAAAACGAGGTCCGGAGGCTGAGGTCAGGCAGGGTGGATGGCTGGAAGATTTACTTGCAAAGGCTTTCAATAATCGGGTAGTGAACTGGTGGCTGGCTGGTGAATATGTAGCAGGGGAAGCAGGTGTATGTGATGAGCTGAGGAGACAGGAGCAGGGGAAGTGGATGAAGCTGATGACAGGAACAGGTGAGATGAATGGAGTTGATAAGGTGCTGACTGAGGTTGCTAGGGAAAACAGGTCTTGGCTGTAGCTTGATGAGGAGACCAGGTGTGCTGAATGAAGGCTGAAAGATGGGAGTCATGACAAGTGTAGACTCTTTGAGTTTATATTATTCTCTTCTCCTCGTGTGCTTTTGATAAAACTTGTTTCGCTCGCTAGTCTTCGGTTTACACACTCTTTCGGGTTTTGGATATTTAGGATTTGACAATTTGGCTTCTAGACTTCGGAACGTATTTGACTGTGACGTTGGATCTCCCCAGAGCTTTCCTGCTTATCAGGAAAGCTTTTATTATTCTCGGTTGTTTTATCCCCACCCCCTTCTGGGGTGGCGTTTTCCATTCTCCCCTTTGTATTTAGTCCTGTTATATATATATATATATATATATATATATATATATATATATATATATATATATATATATATATATATATATATATATATATATATATATATGTATGTATTTATATATATATATATATATATATATATATATATAT